AGACCTTAGGTATTCCTGTGGAGAACTGGCAAAGGGAGCATCAGAGCTGGTCCAGCCCCTTCAAGCTTTACCATGGTGTAAAATGAAGGTTGGGATAAAGGGAGGGGGTGGAGAGCTCCGTACTCCCACCCTTGCGGAGCAGGACAGCAGTGAATATAGAGCCGGCATGAAGGATAAACACTTGTCAAGCGCTGAGGAACAAGTCTATGGACCCTGTTGCTGCTTGATGTCATTGAGCAGCGAACTTAGCAAGACACAGGAGGGACTGGACACCTCTGTGCATGTTAACCTTATCTAGAGTTGCCGCTAACTACAGAGATTGAAAAGCGATATTAAAACTTTCTGCTTCAGGACTCATTAAATCTTCAGTGATTGATAGCAATCAGGAGGAAAGGAGCATGGGCAGAGTAATCCCATAGCTGGTTGAGAGATTCTCCGTCCTTCCTTGGGGGCTCCCATTTACTGCCTGGTGTCAAAGACAGGCGACCTGGCAGGAAAACTCCCAGTCACCACCCAGGCTGTGGTACCTCTGTCCCTGGGGGCTGGCAGCTCCGGTACTCTGGAGGTGCTCTGGGTGTTAGCACAGGACAGCAAGCAGGAGGGTAAAATGTGGTCTGCAGCTAGGTTGTGATAGAATCTGTTAAAAAGGAAATGCATACAAATTACTAGCTATAACTGATGATAAAATAACTATTTTGTGGAGCAAGGAACAGAAGAGTAACACATTGATTTTTGGTAATTAATGGTTCAATAGAAACCTGTTCTAGGAATGCCCTGGGCAAAGTCACTGGATTGGAAGCGCCTTTATTCCCTGGTCTGTTCTTTGCCTCACTCCTCCACGTGTTCTCCGAGGCTGATTGCACAGCCCCGAGGACAGCCACAGGCGCTGGCTCCTGCAGCTCGGCTGCCACTCCTCCTCGCAGGCTCCTACTCTTTCTCTGGAAGGTCTTTGGGGCAGAGATTTTGGCTCAGCCTGTGTGCAGTGCTCATCCCAACAGGGCTGGAAACTGCCTCCAGCCACTGCTAAAGTGGTTTCCAGTGCCAGATGCTGCCCTAAGCGCTGGAGCGTGGACTCTGGTGAGATCGATGTAGCACCACACCTGAGTCACGCTAGCTGGAGGAGCAGGTTGCAACATGCAGACGACTGCAATGGCTAAACCTCAGACAGCACAGCCAGGAGTGGCATTGCCTCCTGGCATCTGGGTGGATGATGGATGGTGCAGCAGCAGACGGCAGCGCTGCGAGAACTCTGCCAGGTTAGGGCTAGATCAGATGTGGGGGGAGAACCGCAGCCAGCAATATCACTGTGCTGCTCGTGCCTCTCCAGGCAAGCGAGTGAGTGCAGCAGAGGGTGGTGACAGTGGGGAGTGATTGAGCCCCTGCGGCTGAGTGTGTTCGGAGCAAAACGCCTGATCCAAACAGAGAGCCTGGTAGCAGGGAAATGGAGTCATTGTTCAGAGGTCCTTGCTGGCCTGCTCTTCGGTGCCGTTTCTCTAAACAGCTTTTACAAGATAGTTTAGCTTGCCGCGTTGGCTGCTGGCACGGGCTCAGGGCTGGGTCCCACCAGTGAGCCGCAGCTGCGATGCTGGGCCCGGGGTGTCTGGTGCTGCTGTGGGGAAGCGATGCCCTGTGATCGTGGCCCTCGTCCTTGCTGGAGGTGGATTGCTCCCCCTCCTCCACTGCCGGCAATTAGCACCCGGGCTGCAGAGTGGTCGCACAGAGCAGTGCTGCCTGGAGCTGCCCCCAGCAGCCCCCAGCCCTGCTCCCGTTCAGACCCTAGCTCTCCTCCTTCCTTTCACCACTCTGTCACATCAAGACCGAGACCTAGTTTCCATGCAGAAATTTTAGCCTTTTGGCTCCAAGTTTGTTAAGCAATATTTAAAAAATAAAAAATCAAACAGGAAATTTTACACAGCCACGCTTGGATTTTGTGGGCAATGCAGAAAGGACTGGTGCACTGCAAGCTTGCTGTGCATGTGAAGGCAGTGCCTGCCAAGGCCAGTGAGTGGGACTCTGCAGCGGGGATATTTCTGCAGTGGGTCATATCCTGAAATTGAGGGTTATCTTTGGCCGGTTGCTCTCAAGACATGCTGCTGAGTGAATGCAATTTCCATGGGAATACAAACACCAGTCAGAATCATGCAGAGACTGAGCAGTCAGGTCAGCCCCGGTGCAGCCCTGGGAGCTTGGCAGGATGCCCTTGCAGGGTCGGTCCCCAGCCACTGCTCCCTGCGGCCAGTGGTGCCAGTGCCCAGCTGGCTGCTGCCCCCGGCCATGGCGGCAAGCTGGAGCGTGGGTACTGTGTGGCGCTGGGGAGGGGAAACCCTGGTCTGGCCATCAGTGATGCTCTCCTGTCTGTCAGACACTTTTGGAGAGCAGCCCGGAGCACTTCTGCTCCAGCCCTCCTTGGGGCAAGTGCTGCCTGCCCACGTGCTCAACCTCCCAGTCTCATTTTCTGTGCATGTCCCTTGCACCACTCCCTTACACAACCACAGGGCTCAGCCGAAGGGCACCCTATTTGTACAGCAGTGGGCACCTGAGGACTCACTCCCTGATCATGCTGTGGGCCTTGCTGTGATGTGGATAGCCATAAAAGATGCTTCCTTCCCTCAGGGCTGTTAAATCCGGGTGCTGGATCCCCCCCAGGAAAGCCAGTCTGTAATTCTGCAGCATCTGCAGTCCCCAAGTGCTTGCATCCCTCTTAATTTGTTCAGGCTTTTCTTAAAGGAAAAATACCTCAACATGCATCATTGCACCTGATCCATGCTCCTTGTGTATCACTGCTACTCAAATGGCTGATGCAAGGCAAGGACAAAGCACCAAAGTGCTCCGGTCAGAAGGCAGGACTGCAGACGCCCCGCCATGTTGGGAAGGCAGCTCTGGCAGGGCACGACGCTGGAGCGATGAGCTCCCTGGCAGGGCCTGGCCACCGGCACGCTGGCCCTGAAACAGGTGAGCTGGAGTCCTGCAGCCCTGCTCCCCACAAACCCCCATTGCCAGGACTCAGCTAGAGATTTTTCAACAGGAAAGATGCTGACTGCAGGAGAGGGGGAGCCATGGGACCCGCTGGCCTCTTCACCCAAAAATGCTGAAGGCGCAAGCAGCCCTGTGGCAGCACCAAACCCACCTTTGCTCTTGCCTTGACAGGAGACCCAGCACCTCCTCCAGCAGCACCTTGGCAAAACAAGCCCAGCTGGATGGATTACACCAGCAGTAAATACACAAATTACGGAGAGGTTTAAAGCAAGCTGATGCATTTAGCAGTCACAAAGACGAGGCAACACTGACAGGCAAATCTAGCTGGGCCTTGCCTGACAGCCACTTCTGCTTGCAGACTTCAGCTGCATAATTCCTGAAATGGCTGTTTCCTGCGGCTCAGCGGTTTGATGTCAGCATCGCTGCGGTCGACAGTGCCCAAGGTGCTCTTACAGGACCATTTCCAGCCTATTCACATTGTTTTCTCACCGTATGTTGGTACTAAAAATAGTTGCAATATGAAGGGATAATCCTGTAAGACCCCGAGCATCGCCATCCTCTGTGTCTGCTGCAGGAGACCCAGCCACTGCCGCAAGTGCTTCCTGCGATTAGTGACACCGCTCCTCCTCATGCCTCCCAGGCAGCAGCACCATCAGGGACCGCATCTTCACGGCACATTAGTCAACAACAGGTTAAATTATGCTTTGTGTGGGTGTGCCTAGGTGCAAGTATTTGAGAAGCTTAAGATAAAAATATTGTTAAAACACACTTAAGAAGCAGCCAATACTGTGCCTTTACCCTTTGAACAGGTACACTGTGGGTACAGAAAGCCTTGAATGGGCGCGCTCTGACAGACGCGGCTGTACACGCAGCCGCTGCAGCTCCGTGGCCTCCTGCGTTGTCTCACCTCACCCGGTGCTGGGAAGGGTGGCGGGGGCTGGCAGCGCTTCCCCCACACTGCCTGGGTCAGCGCCTGCACGGGGTCACCGCTGGCAGGCGAGGCGGGTGTTCTGCAGCTTTTAGGATCCAGACAGTTTCCCACTCGGGCATCTCTATTGCAGGTGACATAGCGGGTGCCGGAGTGGAGCCCTGGGGGCAGGGGGCACGGGCGCAGGGCTAGGGCTGGCCACGGCCACGGTGCGTGCAGGAGCAGGAGAGGGGTAGCTGCCTGGCTTGTGGCACTGCCCTCCAGCCTCTCCAGCACTCAGCAGCCGAGGAGGTGTGAAAGAGGCTGTAATGCTCTTGCAGGGACATCATTTAATACCTTCCAGCTTGCTATGATAATCTTTAACTGGGGGCAGCTGGGACAAGCATTTACCTCTTCATTTTCTTAGATATAAATGCTATCTTGCTGCAGTTTCATTTTACAATATGGTAATATGCTATCCAGGAAAGTCTTGCTACATGCTAATTTATCCAGTAGGCAAATTCCTTTTGGCTAATAAAAGTGCTTGCACAGGAAGCTCAAAACCCAGCAGCAATTAATTATTGACAGAGCATGTGAATTAGAGATAAAAGAAAAGTCATTCTTTCTCACACACAAGATAGTAAATAAATTTAATTATTGTACTAGAAGCAAGGGATCTTATTCTGTATTAAGTTTTATTAGCTGAGACATTTAAAAGCATGTCATCATAACAAAAAGGTCTTGTGTAATCCTAACTGCACCACTCTGGTACAAGGCTCTGAAGTGAATAGGCTTAATTGAGCAAATGGAAGCAGATGGCTTGCTGAACAGACAGGTATTGTACAGGTTTATTGTCAATTAACTTTTGTCTACATATGCCTATGGCAAATTGACTGTATAATGTGTTACCAAGGCTGATTTAACACTGCAGGTGCCCACCATGTCCAGGGTCCGAGAAGAAACAAAGCCAGAAGTGCTTTGGTCCCTGGGGCCCACAGGTGTGGCAGCATCCCTCCTTCTGAACATCCCGACAACACCTGCATGGGGCAGGAGGGACGCTGAGGTGTCTGGCCGTGCCTGGCACCTTGCTAACCACCCGTCCTCTGCTTCTGCGCAGGAACGTGATGCCCAAGACGCTGGACGGCCAGATCACCATGGAGAAGACCCCCAGCTACTTCGTGACCAACGAGGCCCCCAGGCGCATTCACTCCATGGCCAAGGACACGAAGCTGATCGTGGTGGTGAGAAACCCGGTCACACGGGCCATCTCGGACTACACGCAGACGCTCTCCAAGAAGCCAGAGATCCCCACCTTCGAGGTGCTGGCCTTCAAGAACCGGACCCTGGGGCTGATCGATGCCTCCTGGAGCGCAATCCGCATCGGGATCTATGCCCTGCACTTGGAGAACTGGCTCCAGTACTTCCCCCTCTCCCAAATCCTTTTTGTCAGTGGTGAGAGGCTCATCACTGACCCAGCTGGGGAAATGGCTAAGGTCCAGGACTTCTTAGGCCTCAAGAGGATTGTGACAGAGAAACATTTTTATTTTAATAAAACCAAGGGGTTCCCCTGTCTAAAGAAGCCAGAGGACAGCAGTGCTCCCCGGTGCTTGGGCAAGTCCAAGGGTCGAACTCACCCCAAAATAGACCCAGACGTCATCCACAGACTGCGGAAGTTTTACAAACCCTTCAATGTCATGTTTTACCAAATGACGGGCCAAGATTTCCAGTGGGAGCAGGAAGAAAGTGATAAGTAGAACCATGAAATCAGGAAAAAAGTTATTTTCTTTTGAGATGCAAATCATCATTAGAGACCCAAAAGTCACTCGAGGCTAGAGGCTCAGCCTTGTGAGTGCAAGACTCTTGCGCTGTCAGGGTTGCAGCCAAAGCTGCCCCACATTTCCAGCTCTGAAACCTTAGTGGCACATCACCTTGGGTTGCATTTGGGCTCTCCCCCCTGTCATGCTGAGGGGGATCAGGGGGTGGGTGCGAGGAGGAGGAGGCAGAGGGAGCAGGGTTCCTCAGGGTGATGGGATGCTTCGTGTCGACATTTCACTGCTGATGTCCCCCTCGCAGCCAGGCAGGCAGGACCAGCACCACCTGCCATGGCTAGCAGAGTGGGAGGGTGGCTCACAAAACCCCACAACATGGGGAAAAACCCATAGATTTGATTTCTCCTGCCCTGGCTGTTAGTTTTGCCCAGCAGCATCAGATCTGGTAAATTCAGGACACGTGCATTCACATGCACACTGGTATTTGTGTGTGGAAGGAATAAAGCCAGTTATGCTGCAAAGGAACTATGTACAGAAACTTCATTTGCACCAGACATTTCAATTACTTGTTGCACTAAAACTAGTATTTACCAAGTGCCACAAAACACCTGGGCCCAATTCTCCTCTGACTGATGGGTGTATCGCCACTGTTGGAAGAGAGTCGTTCCTGCTTTGCTGGGCTGCTCAGTGAGATCAGAACCGGGGCCTCCCTCGGACTCCCACGCTCCTCCTGGAAGCCGTACCGAAGGCCATTCCCAGGCATCCACTCGCAGTGAGCAGGGGTCTCACCGCCCAGCCAGGCTGCTGAGGTGTGTTGCGGAGCCATGTGTGCCCATGCAGCACCCCCCAGCAAGGCCGTGCTGTGCCCTGCTCCGTGGTTTGGAGCCAGGCGTTCCTGGTGGGAACCGAGAGGCTGACTATAGGGCAGAGGCATGGGGGACAGCCCCAGCGTAGAGTCTGGGCAGGGCTGACTGTCGGAGCCCCTGGCACTGCCCTTCATTTGCACCTTGAAAACGAGAGCTCTGCTGCTTGTTGTTGACAGCCAGGTTTGCAAAATGGGGAAGCAGCCTTCATCTTTACTTCAGAATTACAAAAGAGCAATTAATTCCCAGGGCGAGTGCTGCTCTGTGCAAAAAAATGTGTGCTTTCTAGTGGAAATGACCACGTCAACCAAATTTGCAAATCCTGGTAGAAACTGTAGAATAAACCCATATCCCAACTGGATCCTCCAGCAACGTGATGAGAGCTGCATGCTGGAACCAGTGGAGAGCAGGCCACCAGCACTTTGACACAGCTGCGCCTTTTCCATCTCCATTACTGAGAGAAAAACAGAAAGAGAGGGAACAAAAGGAAGAATGCAGATCTCCTGTTGCTGAAATGTTCCCTTCGCATGGGTGATTTCTAAGGGCACTCAAATATTGCTGGCTGCTTTCTTTGTTTTAACAGGTGGTAAGAATGCCTCCCTGGTGGAGCATAGCTGTGTGTGAGTCCCCTGTCCCCTTTCAGGTGGGTCCCTGGCTGTTGGAAAGCAGCAGAGATGCAGTGTGAGATCGCTGTGGGAGGACCAAGACTCAGTTTTGATTAAGGTGGCAAGAAATCCCTGCTGATCCAGCTAACCAAATGAAATCACTGTTACGTTGGGTAACAAGCTGAACCTGCTTTGAGTTTCATGGCCTGTTGTGTGGTTCATTATGCCATGAAGTGGTGCTGGTGCCTTGGAGTGGATGAAAAAGAGCTGAAGCCATTTGGAAAATTTACACCATGGGCCATGCTGGAGGGGCACCGCAAGGTCCCTGCTAACATCACATCAGTTCCTATTAGCCTGATTAGATTTAAAAACAGCTCCTGACATAACATAGCTTTTCACAGTCCCACAAATCCTGAAATTATTACATGAAAATTGGAAGTATGTAATAGGAATAATTTTACAGTGTTTCACACATTATTAAAATGTCAGATCAGATCCTAAGTGAAAACTGTTGTTACACAATTTGGTGCAAGCTCAGTGGATTCAGTTGGAGGATGAGGGGCTTATTGAGGCCCAGTGTCCAGGCTCCTCACCGGAGGGATATCCAGAAATTTTTCCCTGTTCCCAGCATGCTGCAGCCCCGACGCTGCAGTGGGCTGGCCCTGACAGTGCTGAGCGGAGCCTGCCAGTGGAGACGGCGGGACCGGCGGCCCTGGCTGCCTGCCGGAGGGGCTTGGCTCCGGCAGGACGCCATCCCAGGTCGTGGCTTGGCTGGGACCTGGCAGGTTGGCAGCTGCACGCAACCCCAGCTGTTAACGGCCATCAGCACGGCACTGCGCATTGCCTTTGTGGCGAAAGCTTGGACTCTCTCAGCCCCCATCCACAGCTTAACCAGGAGCAGGTCTTCACCGAGCAAGGTCTTCTTGAGCTTGAAAGAGCCCCTGAGAACCCCTGTCCCCAGCCAGCAGGTCTCCCTGCACACCCCAGCCTTGGTCTGGTCTGGTCCGGCCCAAGCACTGCCCTGTGTCTGTCTCCCTGGGTGGCTCGGGCTGGCTTCTCCCGGGAAGAGCCTCTGGTCCCCGACTGCCATCAAGCCACCGTCAATCTTCTCATCGTGCCCCTCGCTGGAGGGACAGGAGGTCTGAAAACGCATGTTTGTCTGAGAATTATGACCCAATGAAGCACCCCCTTAGGGAGGTCATGGCGTGCGGCGGGGCCGGGCAGGAGCATCTGTCCTGCGCTGGGACGAAGCACAGTTGCACCTGGGGCCCAGTCCTGGAGCTGGAACAAGGCCCTGGAGCAGGGATGCGGAGGAGGGTCCTGCAGGAGGGCTCCCAGCGCAGGGCTCCAGAGCAGGACGCAGCCGGCCCCGGGCCCCGGGCCCCCCAGGAGGGGCCACCCGATGGTTTACAGAAGCAGGTCGGGTGGTGGGAGGTGCTGCACCTGGCCCGGACTCTCGCTCCTGTTCGTTCTGCCATATATTCAGAGGTTTATTTTTTATATTGGCTGCAATCTCCAGCTCGGGAGGAGCCACCGAGCGCCTGGCGGCAGAGGAGGCCCCACTCTTCCACCCCTGAGCGGCTGCCCCACAGACACCGACCGCCCCAGCACGATGGGATGGGACCCCCTCCCCTCCCCAGGGGCCACCACAGCACCACCGGCCCCTTCGCAGCGCTGGAAGGGAGCGGGGCGCGCCAGCCACCCACCCTGGGGCGGGTGGGGGGCACGGGGGGGCCTCTGGGGTCGTTTATTCTCTTTTCTGTTTTTCTGAAATGCACCCCGTGTCTGCCGTGCTAATGCAGGGGCTTGACAGGGGAATTATTTTCTATCTGGCCGGAGAGTGGCCTGCCAAATGAGAGTGAGTCAGGTTAATAACACTTTTTTTTTAAACTATTCAAATGTCAGCATTAGAATACACAGGAAATTGAATTTTGTATTTGATTTCAATTAACAAAGCATAAATTATATTTAATTTTATACACAGACTGGGTGATTCATTGTTCTGGAAAAGCTGGTACTTTATGGTTCAGAGACTGGAAATGGAGAGTTAATCTTTTCTGAAACCAAACTGCTGTGCTGTCGCCTCCTCCCAAACGCGTCTCTGTCTGTCGGTGTCACTCTGTACCTGAACAGTATGAAAATCCTGAACTGAACACTTGAACCCACAGCACTAACAATAAAACATTGTAGCAGCTGCATTTCTCTGCTCCATTTCTCCCAGCCCCGCCAGCAGCACCAACACCCAGCAAGTGGCAGACCCATGGCGGCCACTGGCCATGACCTGCCACCAGCCAGCCCAGCCCTGAGCAGCTGCTCTGACCTGCTCCGCAGGATGCGGCCCCACGGGTGCCAAAGGGGCCAGGGGAAGGCGCATGCCACAGCCGGGACCAGGACCAGGACCAGGACCAGGACCGCCTGGGCCAGCACCCAGCCTGCAGGGTCGCAGGCATGGGGGAGTTTCCAACCCATTGGGCAGCATCCCCAGAGATGTCCTGCATGAGATCAGGTCAGGGACCCATGGAGAGCACAATCCCTGCTTTCCTCTGCAGGCAGGGACCAGCCACTGGCCCCCAGACCCAGGACTGCCTCATCTGGGGACAGCAGGCTTGTTCCTGCGGTGGGGGGGCAGCAGGATGTGCCCCTCCGGTGGGGGACAGGAGGATTGTCCCTGCGGTGGTGGGCAGCTTTCCTCGTTGGCCTCACAGCTCGGGGTGCACCTCCCAAGGTCACAAAGAACAAATCCCTGAGCAATGCCTGGGAAGTTTCACTTGCTGCTGATTAAGGATAAATCAGTGGGTAATAAAAGGAGAGAGAGGGCTGGCTGCCAGGCAAAGAAATTAGGGGGAAAAATTTTTTATCTTATTTTGTGTGCATAATTTCCTGCTAGTTTGAAAAAACCTATTTCACAGCACGGCCCTATTGTGTCATCTGATAAAAACCACTGAAAAACTTTTATCAACAAAATTAGGAAGTAGTGAACTATAAAATTGCTAATTATTTTCTAGTAAATTTACTTTTAAATAACTTTAGACACCAATTACAGGCACCATTAAGCACCATTAACACTGGGTATATTTACCAAACAAGGATGGAATACTTATTATTCAAATCAAGATCATTTTGGTGTAGATTTTGCTGTTTGGAAAGCAGTCCCCTCTTACCAGATGTTTAAAAAGTCATCAGAAGATCAATTACACCTCAAATGTAGTCAGATTCCTAATATTTGAATTGTGGCATGATATAATTCAGCCCTTGAAGAAAACACCTGTGTGAGCAGGGACCGTAACACCGAGGAGCTGCCCCAGCGGTGCCTGCACGGGACCAGGGCCAATGTGCTCCTCTCTTGCTAGCCCTGAGAAAGCGAGTCCCACATTGCAAGACAGATCCACCTGTCTCTTGCAATGTCTCCTTCCCCTGCTCCGTGCAGGGCTCCACCACCCTTTGCACACCCCTTCATGTTGGGCCAGCGAGCATTGCTCCTCCTGGCAATCCGCTGCTGTTTTGTCTCTCCACCACC